GTTTCCCTGTGATGTGGGGCTTGCTCGATTCACACGGTGCTGAACAAAGGTTTATTCAGGACTTGATGAAATGACCTAAATAACACAGTGCCGTTTGTAAATAATGCACTTACTCCAACCTCTGTCGAAAAATCTTGTATGTGGCATTTGTCTCTCCCTTGCAGATACAAATGGTAATGTATTCTTACTAGGTTATTTCTGTGGAAGAATGAAATGTTCTTTCAGTGTTCGTATGTAGTATGTAGTCTGCTTCAAGCTTTCAAGCTTGCTTTCTCTGGATGTGACCATTTTATGAAGAGAGCATCCATTAGGCTTTCTGTGAGGAGCAAACTTCACAAATAGTTTAATCTATGCTTTAAAAAGCAGGGCAAAATCTAAATTTTTTGATAAGAGCTTATTTCAATTACAACTCGTGACTCATTACAGAACTAAGACGCTGTGTGACAAATTCAGGCTTACTGTGATTTATCTAACTGCCTGTTCAGAGTGGGAATTTAAGGGTGAAGCAAGATTGCAATCCTAATTGTTTTGGAGACTTTGAACATGAAATCTTTCATAAAAATAATAATAATAAACCTTCCTCGATGGTTTTTTTTTCTTCCTACAAGTTGGCATTTCATGCCATTCACAGATGTACAGAAATGTTCCTTCATTTTACAATTCCTATGCACTATCGATTTTTTGAGGAGGAAAAGTTAAAATTGCTTTTCCAGTCTGGAAAACGGAGAGGACCATCCTTTTCTCTGTTAAGAGAAACAAAAATTATTGAGATAAATCACTGTGCCCACATGTTCAGTCTCAGTGTGCTTTTGAAGGTAAGTCAAAGTAAGAAGATGGTTAATAAGCTTCTGAAGGTCTGGTCCCTCTTTTAAAAATAATTTTGTTGACATCATTGTCTTAGCAGGAAACAGAGTTGAAAGCTAATAAGGCTTATCCTCCATAGTATCATTTTACTGAAAAAGTCAATTACCTTTTCCTAAACGAAATAATTTCTTCAACATGGTACAGCTGTTATGAAATAGTAATATTTATCAGATGCTGGAATCATGTGACCTCAGGTCTTATGCTTCAGAGGGCAACTGCGACTGTAATCACTTCACAGTGATCTTGTGCCCGTGTCTCATTCCAGTGAAGATCTCTGTATCTCCTCAGTGCTATGAAAAGAGTTGAAATATGTTTCTATAGTCATTATATAATTTCCTAAAATAGTTTCTTTTTGCAACGTTTCTCTCTGTTTTGGAGAAAGTAAGTATCAATTTACTTTCACTGTGAGAAATCAAAATATGGTCTACTGATTCCCATTTAACCATTGATCAAATTATACTTAGCTCTTGATGTCTTTTGTAGGCAAGGATTCAAGAGTAGTCTGTGGAGAAACTGATGAAAATGTAGCTAAAGCCAAAGGCCCTTTGTCTGATGGTTTCCAAAAAGGAAATAGTCACAAAATGTCAAGTATTTTATCTCTAAAAATAGTTGATTAACTCTTTATCCTAAATTTTATATATTAGGACAAATAACTATCTGGATACATTGGCTTCTGAAATTTAAGTATTAAGCAGTATTATGTCTGGCTTCAGAAATTCTCGTACTCATTGTTATGTTTCAGCAGTGAAAAGTATTCTTCTTGGGTAACCATACTTGTCCTTCATTCATCAAGTTACATTACATGCATTTAAATAAAGTTTTATTTTTAGAGTAATATGTAAAACACGTCTAGCAATAGGAAGGCACTTGCCTGAGTACAGTTTTAGTCTGATCTGTATTTGTACTTGGCCATTGATCACAGCAGTTGAAATAGTTATGCAAGTGCTGTATCAGTTATTCATTTTGGGGAAGGACTAGAAAATGCAGGTTTGGATCATCAGAAATCTGTATGCAGATTCAGGTGAAATTTGACAAACAGTGTTTTGGCCTGTTTAAAAAAAAAACAACAACAAAAAACCAATGACAGCTCATATCCTACACTATGAAACAGTATCATTCCCTCCCTTCCCCTTTTTCCAGCAGTCAGAGATTTAGTTGGGATTTAGTGGGATTGTTCAGGTCGCTCCGGTGCTTGAAGAGAGCTGAACTTGTGCCTTGTGAGAGAACCCGACTGTGCAGGCTCCCATGTGCTCTGGCGTGGGTCACTTCCCGCTGATACTATTTGATTTGGTATCAATTCCTAGAGCAGGAATTGGAGCTTTGCCTTCCAGACACGAGCCTAACCTGGTTAGGATCAGTGGCCCCAGCAGAAGAATAGAAATGTCTGTTTTCTCCAGCGGTTCTTTTTATTCTTACCCTTCATTTCCTTTACTTTTCTTACTGATGCTCAAATGATAAATGTTTCACTTTTGGTCATTTAACGGGGGAAAAAAAATCATCATTGTTTTTGTTTGAACATGAAGAAGCCAGAATGAACAAGAGCTTCTATTTGGTTTCATTATGAGATGGGAATTGGGTGGAAAAAGGGCTGACTTTTCAAGTGGACAAGCCTGGAAAGCATTACTTTACCTTGGTGGAATAACAGAGAAGAAATTGGATTAGCAGAAATAATTACGAGATTAAACATTATGATTTTTTTCATTCCTTTGATCAATATCTTGCACCTCTCTAATGACGAGTGCTTTGTGAAGCAAAGTTATTTTCGTTCGTTTGCTCATGATGTTTCGTACTGATAGTTCAGACTGTTCAAAGTCTGCCTGTGTCTAGCAAACACAAGCTGCTTTCTGTTACTGGATACAGTCCCATTTTCCTGTGTCTTAAATCTATGTAATATAGAGCTCAGAGTCAGCATTGCCTTATGATAGCAGTAGTTCATTTAAAGAGAGTTCAGTCATAGCTTTGTCCAACTTTTGGCGATGCTAGGGGAATCAGTTGTCATCTCCTATCAGTCTAAAGCTACTATAATTGATGTGAGAAAATGCCGTTGAGTGCAAGTCATAAAAGGAATACTTCCAAGGAAGTTCTTCTAGCTTTAGAAATACTCTTAATGTGTACTGAATATTATGGATGCTGTATGTATGCGGCATACTATCCAAAATTACTTGGACAGTAATTCAAAAGAGTTATATATTCTATATATGAAAAATTCTTTTAGCTCTTAGATAAGAATAGTTCATACTTTCTCATGATGTGTATTTGTTCTGAGTCAAGACTAAATTCAAAGACTGCTTTTATTATGCTGAAGTAGACTCAAAAATATATTTTGTGAAAGAATATTTGTATAGGAAAGAGTATCTAGTGGAGAGAAATTGTAAAGATTATAGTCTCAAGCATTTATGTAGTATTTATAAAAGGTTTTTTTTTTTCTTTGCTTATGGTTGTAATTTAGATATGTTCTTTTCAACATTGCTTTTTGTGTGTGGAAAGAGAAGGCACCAAGTAGATTATTTGTATATGCCTATATTTCAAGACATACTTCACTGAAGTGAAGAAAGGACCTCAGGAGATCTCTAATCTGACCTCCCCTCAAAGCAGAGTCAGGTCTGAGGCCAGACCAGGTTGCTCAGGGCTTTTTGTCTAGTCTGGTTGTGAAAACCCTCCAAGGACAGAGACTGCAAAATCTCTTTGGGCAACCTCTTCCAGTGGCTGGCTGTCCTAAAAGTGAAGATGTTTTGTTATAGTTGTGAAAAGGCACCATGTTGTTAAACTGATTTATCCTGTCCCAGCATGCCACATCCGAATTAAGTATTTACTGTTATCAGTCTGAAAATAGAATATAGCAAGTGTTGCACAACCTGTCATTCCCTTTTTTACTTCTACAATACAAGTCATGTAACTGAATAACAGTATCACGAGAATGCTCTGAATGGATTACTGTATTATACAGGTAGCCCTATAGTTTGACAAAGGCATCTATGAGTTAAAGTAAAAAAAAAAAAATATTTTTTTTAATATAGGTTCTCCTGGCACCGTATAATCTGGTCCATATCTCTTAATTCCATTGCACAGACTCTATTCCAGCATACCCACTGAAGCTTTTCAGTATACCTTGTCATTCTCAATCTCTTCCTAAAATTTAAAAACTCTGAAAATAAGGATTCTTTTCCACCCTGTAATGATAGAATTTTCATTGCAACATCAGGCTCAATAAAAAGCTTCTTGGTTTTTACATCTAAAAGGCATTTCCCTGAATTCTGTAACTGCACAATGTTTAAGTTACCTTTACGGTGTTTGGAGCGCGCATATGGATTGTAATTTCTGCAGGAATATGTTGGAAATGAATTTGTTTAGGTTACAGCTTTGGAATCGGTGCTATATCATATTTTACTTTTCAGCTGCAGAACAATTCACTGCTTACCTTCTATATCCTATGAGCTTGTCTTATCTTGTGATTGATGTAGCCATGGTCACCAGAATTTGAGATATCACCTCAACCCAGGCAGTATTCTGAAATAATAACAGGGTAATATAACAGAAGAACAAGGAACTGATGGAAGTCAATATTCAGTCATATATCTAAGAGTATACCTTTTTACTTTGACTTTTGATGTGCGGGTACTATACTTTAGTACCTTGCATATGCAATATTGGAAGCAACAGCTTCTAATAGCAATAGCCTGTAGTTGTCATGAGTGGAATTAAATACCATGCTAGATCCAAGTACTTCTACTGATGCATGGAAAGTGATTATCTAAGTGTTTGGTTTTTTCGCATGATCAAAAAACTGCTGAAATCACCATGCTTACTGTGTTTTCTCAAATCGGTAATGATAATCAATATATATCAGAAATGTGTGTAGTCAGTAGCAGACACAGCTTTGTTCAAGGCTAAAACCTGTGGCAGGCAAGAACTAGTTTTATTAAAGCAGAGCAGGCAGCCATATCTTACTGTGTGGGAGCTCATCCATGCACATCTGGGGCTCTTCAAGAAAACTGGAATTTTTCTTCTCGCCACAGCCTGGAGTGGTCAAGTCTCTTCAACAGCTAACTTCTGGAAGACTGATATGTGCCAAAGTGTTTCACAGATAACCTGAGTGATAATGAAATGCTGGTAAGTAAAGCTTGCTTGTGAATTTTGCTGTTATTCTCTAGTTTCTTTTTAGTATCTGGACCTTGTAGCCCATTATTTGACAGATGTTCTGTCACAGTTTGATGGAAATTCTGGAAAGGGGGGGAAGAACACAGTAATACATTTTTCTTTCCTGTTTACATATGGTCCATCTCTATCTTTTCTTTTTTTTTTTTTTAGGGTCCGAGTGAGTAATGTAAGCAGTAACATTGGTGATTCGTATTCTGTCAGAATTATTGCCCTAGGGATGGCATTCACGCCAAGAAACTTCTCATTCTTCACATACAACTAGCACAACTGTGGTGACACACAATGCGGGGGACTGGATGAGTGTAAAGGAGTGGATGTGTCGCAGGTGTAATGCGTTTGTACTGTAAGTCCCTTACATGGCTCTGGGATACTTGGCTTTTGTGGTGTTGTGTATGTGTATTAACTGGAACATTCTCTTCCTTTCAGACTTCAAGAACAACCTTCTGCAAGACCCATGGTTGTATTAGGTAAATATATGATACTTTCCTCCTGCAAAACCTAGCTGAGTTCCTAACAAAGTTTGTTTTCTTGCTGACCAAGAAGAACTTGCCTGTGCCTATTTATGTTTGTATTCAGTTGTTATGGGAAGATGGGATTAAAGAAGTGGGTTTACATTTTGCTCTGAGGGCAGAAAAACCCAAATCTCACAGTGTATCTGAAATTTGTATTGTACCCTATAACATGCTGTATGCAGCACGTGCTGCTGGTAAAACTGTGGTACTGATTGTATGGATGTCGGAAACTTATTCTCATTATAAAATTGCAAGATCTTTGCTAGATGCATTAGCTTTCTTAAAGAAATAAAACTATGTTTTTACCTGATGTATCTGTGTGTTTCATTATGAGTAGAAGGAGTTATGAATCCAAAAAGAAAGGGACTCTTCCAAGTCTGCTAAGAGAAGATGACTGCAGGAGTGGAACAGCTAGCAGTTTATTTTTCTGTGCACGTAGTGGTCTTTATGTACTACCCAAAAATGATCTTTTTCTTTTGGGTGGGAGATCTTGGTGCAAATAAAGTGGCATTTGTACTGTGCACACACCTGTGAATTTGTGCTGCTGGCTGATGCCTGTAGAGACTTTCAGTCACTTTTTTTTTCAAAGTTCTGTCTTTTTGCAAATGAACAGTGTGCTCCTGTTTGCACACATTTGTATGTGTACTTATTTGACCTGGAAGCTGTACTCAGGGCCGTGTTGTTCTGTTGTTAGATGCCAACTTGCTTTTGATCTTAAGGAATATATAAAAGATATTTGATAGGTTAGGTTATTTTGCCTGTTGCAAATGCTTGCAACAAATGGCCGTAATTCTTACCAAACATCACATTGTAAATACATTGGTGCAGTTATTATTTAACAATATTTTTCATGTTATTATGGCCGTATATGAACAGGCATCTTAATCTTTCTCCAACTTTGGAAAGTACCTTAATATGTCTTGCTTTTGCAGGAAGCTCTCCAGCATGGTTAAAACTTGTGCTTTTGCCTTCTGGGAACACTGAATCACAGTTCAAAACCGGAGCTAGGGTGCTTTATCTGCTGCTTACCCCAGCCATTTCTGAGCAGGGCTGCCTTTTGACCGTCTTGTGTCCATGTGAAAGTCAGCAGATGTCTGCTGCCGTTCCATTTTCCACTGACTCTTGGTTTAAAGTACGCATAAGCAAATGATCCTTTTAATTTTTCCGCCACTCGCTTCACAGGACTAGTACTATATAGCCTCGAGGTAGAGTATTTGCAAATAGCAGTATCACACTGATCACCTGCAGTAATCTTTCATAACACTGTTGCAAACTGTAATTAAATTAAGAGCTTGTTATTTTAAAACTTTTTGCATATGATCTCTTCCACTTTTAAAAGGCCATCAGTAAGGCTTATCAGCAACTTACTGGGGAGATAGAAGGCAACAGAAGAATTAGATTGTTGACACTTGAGAATTGTTTGAATTGTTTCAATATACCATATTGTTCAAGCAAAAATTTGTGACACTTGATTGCCTGCTGAGACAAAGTCCTAGCTCAATTTTTGAAACTTATCTCCTTTTGTTTTTATTTAGACTTTTGTTTTTATTTCGACTATTCAGCGTTGATCGTACAGAAGAGCACGGTCACTTAGGTGGATGTATCTCTATGCCAAGTATGTGGTCGAGGTTGGTTAGTTGAGTTTTTGCAGGGGGAGGAAAAGAATTTTAACAGATCTGTTCAATGTTTTAGAAACTCAACATTTTACTTAGGATTCTAGCATTTTAAGCGACATCAGAAAAGTACTCGCAGAACGTGACAGGTCTATGGCATTCCACGGTAAAGCAAAGAGAAGAATTCATCTGACAAAAGAGGAGAGAGAGACTTTTACAGATGCCATGCTGAAAAGTACTTTGAGATATCCTGTCATGACAAAAATAAATGATATGTTACCAACCGATTTTGATGAGAGCAAGATTAGAGGCTACTCAGATTCTCTGAAAAATCAATGTGATGCATAAAAAATATTCTCAAAATTTTTTAAAACAAGCCAGTACTGGTTCTAGTTTAAACTGTGCTCTGTGATACATAACAAGGGAGAAACTCACTAGAAGTCTATTTAAAAAAAATCAAGATTTTAGCTTAACTAAATAACGTTTTAATACCTCAAAGTATTAGTGATTGTATACCTGTACCATTGTAGGAAAAAAGCTGTAGATGCCTGTTAATTCAAGTCTGTTAAATGTCACGGTGATACTCACGGAACAAAATGAGATTGAATTTATTCTCTTGATTCATTTTGATACCACTATTCCTTAGAGGAAAAATTAACTAACAAGGCAGAGTCCAGAAACATGTTGTAGATTCATCAGCGTAAGTGAAGATTCTTTATTTCATTTTTTCTGTCACGTGAAAAGGAGACAAGAATGCTAGCACCATGCGTACGTTAACTAGATAAAATCTTTAAATACTCTGGCGGAAGGTTTTCAGGTTGTGAGCATTTATTGCTCCCTGGCTACTGATTTAAAATATCCATCTGAACATGTTAATATACTGACAAAAACGGAACTACTTCTGTCCTAGATTTACGATTTTTCCTGGTCCACCTAGATTCACTCTCAGTAGTGAGTAGTTTCAATGACAAGGTGACCAGTTTAATTTGACTGTGTGAATTATATGGCAGTGGGGTGGGAACTGAATCTTGCACCTATGGGAACAGCAGTATTAATTTTGTCTCTTTTACAGCTGGCACTCAGCAAATAGAAGTTTAGATCACAGAGGAATACTGAAAGTGAAATACTGTGTATGTGTGTGTCGGGGGGCTGAGATTACTGCTTCCCAGGGTGGGTTACTAAGGCAAGATACATATCAGATATTTTTTCAGGCACCTAAATCATTTCGCATTTTGTCTTAAAAGCAGAAGAAATCAGCTGTAATACCCCTTTAGGTCAGTATGCTTAATGCAAAAGCAAGTCAGCCCAGTATTACATAGCTCAACAGAGAGATTTGGTGCAAACCAGAGAAGAGCTGGGTACATGATGTTTTGTCATAGACTCGAGCATGGTTGATTGAAACAGTTATTTAATCTGAATATTCTCCATTGGCTTAAGAGGATAGTTACAAGATTAGCAGGATAAAGACGTTCTCGTTGCATGGCAGGCCGCAAGGATCTCCTCAGGGGTTGGCCAGCTGTTTTCTCCCAGGTGATTCCAGTCTGGTGTTTTTCCAAATCTGGTTGTGAACATAAGGCAGGCAGAGTTTCTCTCTATTAGTTTAGCCTCTGTTAGGAAAGATTTACTACCTTTAGCATATGCTGGTTTTGGTCTTACATTTGGGTAAGATTTGTTGACTATAGCAGTAAATGTTACTGTTGCCAAGGGCTGACTAGAACGTGCTGGAATTCGTGAGGAGGTTTCTCCTTATTCAAGTAAAATGCTAGTTTCAGTGGCCTATGTTTGGTGCTCTGAGTTCGTCGAGGGAAAACGCCTGTTCCCGAGCTCTGTGGGCTATTAGTGGTCAGCCAGACTAAACTGTAGTCTTACTTTTGATCACTGTTTTTCAGCATATAACTGCGTATCAGTATCAAACTCACAGATAGAATGATTATGAGAATTATGCTGAAAAGTGCCTATTTAGGCACCGTAAGTACTTACCTTACTTTTGACTTGATAAAGCTAAAAAAGTGGTGTTCTCTTCTGCTGCTGTACTTGTAAGATACCACAAAAGCTGTATGCTAGACAGCTTTTCTGTGTCTGTTTATAGAGTCCTGTGTGTTTTTCTGGGTATGAAATTTGCTATTGTGAGGGGGAAAACTTTCTTGAAAAGGCTAATGTAGTTGTCTTCCCTGCTTGAGTTTAAGCTAGCACTTCCCACCAAGTCAAGCTCCAGTGACCGTTTCTGTAAGTTTTTCTTCTTAGAATAGAAAAGCATCGTCTTGAATTGTAACTGTGACGTTAAGATGGACATTTCAGAGTTGAGAAGGATCTCAGGTTATGTAGAAACAATATAATTTTGTGATATTGTTTGTTCTTACTGGGAGAATACAGTGTTTTTGAATGTAGCATGTTTTCTTTAAAGACAGAGATTTAGGCAATCTAGAGCAGCTGCTTGTTTTTTAAATCCTTTTTCCCCTACAGGGATTTGGCTGATTGTGGAAAGTATTTTAGCCAGAAGGTAGAGTAAAGCTCACTGGGGAGACTCCAGCTGGGACTGAAAATACAGCACTGTTGGTTCCACATGATCATGAGTTAACACATGAGGCCCCTTGACTAGCCAAAAATGAACTCAGTCTGTTAAAAAGGAGATAATACCTTGTTTTAAGCATTATTCTTAAAGGCCTACATTCTGCTATGGCAAATAGAGATATATTTGCCACATTTCCTAATTTGCTTATGAATATTGGCTATTCCATGAGTGTTTGACCTTCCAAGAAGTAAACTCAGCTATCAGCTCAAGCACTGTCATCCCTGGTGAGTTATTTTGGATAGATTACAAATAGCTTCCAAAGGAAGGATAAATGTAAGCCTTAAATAATTATGCTGATGATGAGTAGGCAAGCCTTTTAGCTAGTTTTTTCCTTATCTAAATTATTTTTCCTATCACGATAAAAATATCAAAGTATTCAATATACTGCAAAAAATTTCTGAGCAAAATACCAGATTCAGTTGCACAGAGAAAGATAATTAGCAGATAGAGAGCATCCATTCTCACAGCGTCAAAGGAGGGCAGATGAGCCGATGCAGAGCTCTGCATATTTTAACCTGGACTGTTTTGAGTCCTTTTGTTATTTCAGTATCTGTCCACTGCAGTGCAGCTCTCTGCAAAAAGGAGTATCGAACAGTAATTCAGTGTTATTTTTACAGCGCGTAAAGTTCCACGTTCCAGTGTACGTGGAACTTTAAAGTTCTAATTTTATTTGTCATGGGAATGGCTGATCCTAGTGTAGGATTGATTGTTTCCCAGTCAATGCCAGGTAGAGGAGTCAGTGGCTCTGGTGAGATATCAGGAGATGCAGAGTCCTTATCTGCCATTAAAATCTGACCCCAATAAATGATAATTGAAAGCTCTTACCATTTAAAGAGGTCTGTGTAAGAAGAGAGATTCTCATCTGAAGACACTGTTGTCACAACTGGAACGCATGATCTGAAATTGTGCATACCTCTCTTCTGAGCCATGTTGCTCGTCTCTCATTATACCTATTCTTGATGATATATGTGATACTTAAAGACTTTAAATATGTTTCTATTCCAAATAATTGTATAAGAATGGGAGGATACTGTCATTCAAACTTCACTTTGGAGAAACCAGTT